TCCACTTGCACCCCCAGCCCCCCTGATGGCTGCCCCCAACCCCAGCCTCCCAGCACTTAAAAAAAAATGTCTCTTACTCACCAACAGTAGCAGGAGCTGTGGCATTTGAGATGCTGCAAGACACATGTGCGCACTCTTGTGGATGCGCCCAAGGTGTGACTGCTCCAAACTTGAGCTAGCACTAACACTGATCAACATTTGATCAGCTCAAAGTGCAATGTGCAACAAGGCCGTCATAGTCATTTCATCTTCTCTGTTATTGTTCACAGTATAAAATTTGGCAATCCAAACAGGGTTTGTAGTAGAGCTGTTATTTTGTTTACATGGAGGATTTAATTTGAAATGATCAATACTGACCCTGCATAGACTGTCTCAATGTCTTCTCCCTCATAACAAAGGGAGGGAGAAGCCATGTGTACAGGTATACAAGGCCCAAATAACCTGCTAAGATGGAGGGGCTGTGGCCACTTCTCAATCCCACTGGTATGCTGAAATGAGAGATAGATTTCATCTTATTTTACCTACCTAATTCTTAAATACTCCATCATCGTGCATGTGGAGTAGCTATTAAACTCCACATGCACAGGGATGGATTGTGCATTTAGGGATTAGATCATCCAACATTTAAGAATGGATCATCTGACACCCCTAAACCATTGGCAGTGAGTTCCAAGCAGGGTATGATAGGGGCTAGAATACTCTGAATATACCTTTTCATATGCTGTCCCTCTAAAGTTTGTACCACTGACACTGTTGGAGACAGGATAATGGGTAGGAACCTACTCACCTTGCAATTGTGCAGATTTAGTGGAAATTGCAGAATTGGGTGATCTCTGCAAAATCTGTAGGAAAAAAATGTACTAAAAATGAAATGCTGGCTCCCCAGTGGTAGCCAACAGCCCTTCCAGGCACGGAGCCCACCCCCAGAGAAGGGGAGAGGGAGGCTGCTGGCACAAAGGTGAGCAGGCAAGATGGCTGCTGCCCATGCCTCTCATGTTGATTAGCTGAGAGGACTGCCTGTTGTGCAGCCATGTCCCCCTCCACCAATCATTAGTGAAGGGAGGGGTCTTGTGACAGACACCCATCTGGTTTGTTTGGTTTTTTGTTTGTTTTATCCCTGGATGTCCAGGGGTCAAAAAAACCCCACCTAAATAAAAAAACAAAACAGAGCAACGCATGCTCAGGCAGTGTGCCCTTGCTGCACAGAGAACTCTGGACTGTGCAGGATGTGGCACTGCAAACATGTTTGCAGCACCACATACCACACAACCATGCTCATCTGGACATGCCCTACATGTGTTAATACAAGCATGATGTTTTCCATGATAGATGTTGTAAGAACTTCAAGCATGAGATTTTTATTCTGTAGCAAGAGATCAAGCAGCCTTAGTCTGGATCACAGTATACAAGTAAGAGGTCTAGTCAGCTGGCTGATGAATCCGTTTGTGGCTGACAAGTCAATTCAGGAGTGACGCAGCTTGTTACAAGTTTCACAGATCCATATGCTGTCTGAGTTGGAGTCCAAATTTACAGCAGGCTGTTTTCTTCTTTCTCACTCTGCTTTCATTCTCTGGATCAAAGCTGCTTCATTTTGAGCTGCCTCCAGTGCCAGGTGTTCCCTCCAGATCAGACAGGATTCTGTGCACTCCTTCCAGCTTTCTACACTAATGTTGAACAATTTCATATCATTTTTGCACACATCATGGTTCTACCATGTGTGACCCTGCTTTCTAGAGCTGTCTTGAATCATGCTATACAAAATGTTCTTGAGGATACAGTCTTCTCCCATTCTCCTGACATGGTCGATTCATTGCAACCTTTTCTTCTTGATAGTGGTTTCTAAGTGTGTAAGACCTGCACGCTCCACTACCTCTGTGTCTGGTATTCTGTCTTCCCACTTCATTTTCAGGATCTTACACAGACATCTCATGTGGAAGCTGTTCAGGCTCTCTACATCTAGCATATGTTTCTGAACCATAAAGCAGCACATAGATAGCACACGAGTCTTGTAGATTTATATTACCTTGGCAGATAGTTTGCTGTTATTCCATGCATGTTTCTATAATAGCCCAAAACTCTTAGCTGATCTTCCGATTCCGTTAATCAGTTCGGCTGAAGGTCAAGATTCCCACTGATTGTAGAACCCAAGTAGCAAAAACTGTCAACAACACCAAGAGATTTATCCTCCAGAGTGATGTCAGGTTCTTTCACCCCTTGGTACATAATCATAGTCTTCTGGAGACTAATTGCCATCCTGAAGCTCTTGTATGATTCAGAAAGTCTTCCCAAGAGATTTTGCAGGGAAGATTCATTGTGAGCAACCAAGGTCATATCATCCACACACAGTAAATCTCTCAGAATCAGTTCTATCACCTTTTTTTCCTCTAAACCTTACGATGTTGAACAAGCTTCCATCTAGTTTGGTTCGAAGACAAATTTAATCATTGTTGTCCTTGAATGCATGAAGAAGCAGGAATTAGAAGGAAATATTAAAACACATGTGGGCTAAGACACACCCCTGATTCACCCTGTTGTTGATGT